ATTATACGGCAGACTTGGATTACCGTATCAGGGAACTCAATCTGGAAAACACTAACCAGAATAATTTGTTTTTTTTTTTCTTTTATTTCGTGGACATTTAGATACTACAGTTAAAATGCTAATGTTAGTTTGGATTGAAAAAAAAAAAAAGCTACTTACATTTCAATATTTCCATGGATTTAGGAAAAAGTAGTAGTCCTAACTTAAAACTAAAACACTTAAAGTAAAAATAAAGTCATAAAGGAGCTAAATGATAAAATAAATAAATAAAAACAAAAAAACCCCACATCACTCTATTGAAATATCTTTCATTTTTAGATGTATAGGCATCTAAAGAAAGGTTTTCTGTTTTTAATCTACCAAAAACGATTTAATAAAGCTGATTCCATTAAGAAATATACAATGTGCAGAAATTCCGCATCTGATCCAGTTTCTTAAAGAAATATATCGTGGACTAGAATTCCACATCTGGTCTGGTTTCTTGGAGAATGTACAGTGTGCTAGAACTCCGAACCACGTCCAGTGTCTTAGTGCACGGATCAGACAGGGCTCTGAGAAGACCTCCACGTGCAAGGGCCCACGTGTTGCTGGGTATTTCAGGGTCACCGCTGGTTGTTTCCTCTCCTGTGAAGCCCAGCCCCACGCAGGAGGAGCAGAGCAGTGCTGCCTGCGGCGGCGGGGAACCTGCCGACCGGCCGTGTTCTCAGAGGCACGGCCTTGGACACACAGGGTGAAGGCAGGTGTGCGTCAATGGCCTCCACTCCGTCCACTGACAGGTATTTCCGCCGTAGGGGCGCTTTTGGAGACAGCTGTATCTCAGCAGGGGATCTCCCCTCTAAAACCTCTGTTATTCTTCCTGGCACAGGAGAGGGGGCACTGAACCCAGAGGGGAATGCTGACCCTGAACAAGACGGGGACAGCAGGTGAGGAAGGTGAAAGGAGCTGCAGGCAGGTGAATTCCCGCAGGACTTGCCGGTCTACCTGCCCCATTACAGCACCAGGGCCGCCCTGTGGCCCAGCAGTGTGCACAGGGCCCTGCCTACCGTTCTAAGGTCACACCGACACGTCCAAGTACCAGGCTGAGCTTTTAACAAATGAATACGGCTCCCTGAGTTGGCTGAAGGTTCCCAATTTAGAGATCATCTCTGTAGGTGGTTAACAGCATCCATTTAAAAAATGTGTGTTAACTGACTGTTCAGTTGGAAAAAAATGTTTTTGCCATTGCATAAATAGAAAATAGTTAAATTATCTTTGTCACAAAGAAATCTGTTTACCCTCTATAAGGTGCAAATACTAGGTCCCTACAGGTCCATTGAACACCAGTGACCGAAAGCCAGATGAATTGTGGGAAGATATCAAGAACATTATCCATGAAGAAAGCAAGAGATCACTAAAAAGACAAGAAAAGAAGAGAAGACCAAAGTGGATGACAGAAGAGACTCTGAACCTTGCCCTTGAGCGGAGAATCACTAAAGCAAATGGAAGAAATGGAAAGGTAAAAGAGCTGAACAGAAGATTTCAGAGAGCAGCTTGAGTAGACAAAGCCAATTACTATAATGAAATGTGCAAAGACCTGGAGTCTGAAAACCAAAAGGGAAGAACACGCTCAGCATTTCTCAAACTGAAAGAACTGAAGAAAAAATTGAAGCCTCGAGTTGCAATAGTGAGAGATTCTATGGGCAAAATATTGAATGATGCAGGAAACATCAAGAGAAGATGGCAGGAATACACAGAGTCACTGTACCAAAAAGAACTGATCGATCTTCATCCATTTCAGGAAGTGGCATATGATCTAGAACCAATGGTAATGAAGGAAGAAGTCAAAGCTGCAATGAAAGAACTGGCAAAGAACAAGGCTCCGGGAATTGATGGCATACCGATTGAGATATTTCAACAAACAGATGCCCCACTGGAGGCGCTCACTCAGTTATGCCAAGAGATTTGGAGGACAGCTACCTGGCCAACTGACTGGAAGAGATCCATATTTGTGCCCATTCCAAAGAAAGGTGATCCCACAGAATGTAGAAATTATAGAACAATATCACTAATATCACATGCAAGTAAGATATTACTGAAGATAATTCAGAAACGTTTGCAGCAGTATATTGACAGAGAACTTCCAGAGGTTCAAGCCGGATTCAGAAGAGGACGTGGAACAAGGGATATCATAGCTGTTGTCAGATGGATCTTGGCTCAAGGCAAAGAATACCAGAAAGAGGTTTACTTGTGTTTTATTGACTATGCAAAGGCATTTGATTGTGTGGATCATGACAAATTATGGATAACATTGAGAAGAATGGGAATCCCTGATTGTACTCATGAGGAATCTGTACCTTGACCAGGAGGCTGTCATTCGAACAGAACAAGGGGACACTACATGGTTTAAAATCAAGAAGGGAGTGCGTCAGGGTTGTATTCTTTCTCCACACTTATTCAATCTATATGCTGAGCAAATAATCCGAGAAGCTGGACTATATGAAGAAAAACGTGGTATCAGGATTGGAGGAAGAATCATTAACAACCTGAGATATGCAGACGATACAACTTTGCTTGCTGAAAGTGAGGATGACTTAAGGCACCTACTGATGAAGGTTGAAGAATACAGTCTGCAGTATGGATTACATCTCAACATAAAGAAAACAAAAATCCTCACAACTGGACCAATGAGCAGCATCACAATCAATGGAGAGAAGATTGAGGTTGTCAAGGAATTCACATTGCTTGGTTCTACAATCGACGCCAACGGAAGCAGCAGTCAGGACATTAGACGACGTGTAGCATTGGGAAAGTCAACTGTGAAGGAACTGTTTCAAGTGCTGAGGAGCAAGGATATCTTCTTGAGGACTAAGGTGCGCCTGACACAAGCCATGATATTTCCAATCACCTTGTATGCATGTGAGAGCTGGACAATGAATAGGGAAGACCGAAGAAGAGTTGATGCTTTTGAGTTGTGGTGCTGGCGAAGAATGCTGAAAGTACCATGGACTGCTAAAAGAACTAACAGATCTGTCTTGGAGGAAGTGCAGCCAGAATGCTCCTTGGAAGCAAGAATGGCCAGACTTCGTCTCACCTATTTTGGTCATGTTGTAAGAAGGGACCATTCCCTGGAGAAGGATGTCATGCTTGGTAGGGTGGAGGGTCGACGAAAGAGGGGGAGGCCTTCAACGAGATGGATTGATACAGTGGCTGAGATGATGGGCTCGAGTATAGCAGGGATTGTGGGGCTGGTGCGGGATCGGGCAGTGTTTCGTTCTGCTGTGCATGGGGTCGCTATGAGTCGGAAACGACTCGACGGCACTTAACAACAACAACAACAACAGGTCTCTGTAAACAGTAATTCTACCAGCGTTTTAGGCCTTTATAGGTTTTTGCTTAATCAGGGGGACAAACCAGGAAGACAGAAACAAGTAAAATCCAGTAATACCCCTGCGTTTCTGTTACAGTAACGGAACTACTTTATATGCCATAAAAAAACAAATGCAACCATTGCTGTGGAGTCGGATCTGACCCTAGTGACCCCTCCTTGGGTTTCCGGGTGGTATCACTATGGAATTAGATTGCCCAACCTTCCTTCCGAGGAGTGGCTGGTGGGTTTGAACCATCAGCCTTCTGGTTAGCAGACAGATGCCTTAGGCACTATGACACCTTATAAGTCATAAAGCACTCTATAAATGCTACACATTATAAGATACTTATTCTTCTAAACGGGCGCATTCTTACTGTTTATTTTTAAAGATCATTAATATTCACACGTAGCTATCAAGCTGTTTCACCCCAGCTCAGTTTTCCATCTCTTACTGATATTCTCCAAGCTGATTTGGGAAACAATGGCCAGTGGTGCTCACATCTCCTAACTCACTACCGAACAGCAGAACAATCATCTAACCAGAGAAAGGGATGCGGGGCTCAGACACCCTGCGGGTCCCACATGCTGCTGCGATCCGGACTCTAGCCAGCGGCAGAGAACCAGGGCTGATCAACGCCCACCCGCCACCCGCTGTGAGCACCAATCTCTTCTTGAAGCTAACTGGCGACAGCTGCTCTTGAACACCAATGGTTTGGCTTATAACAGACTCTTATGCTCAATAAAAACTGAGTTTTAAACTCTGCCTTTTTAGGGAAAGTTAAAAAAAAAATCTATGAAAGGGCTACTTTAGAAAGGCTCTGTGAGGCGTGAGGCCCTGGGCCTTGGCCTGGTTTTTCTGGTGAGAAGCGCAGTCAAGTCTAAGGTCATCAGAACAATGGTTGGGAGGCAACTGGTTTTCTAAACAGAGCCTCACATCCACACTCACGGCCAGTCCATGTACAATGCGTGGCTGTCCTCGTCTTAACAAATGTAGTTTTTAGTCTAGTTCTCATCATTAAATTTACCTTTAAAAATGTACCTACAAAAGGAATATACCCATGACCATATATAAGGTTGGCAGATGATATTTCTTCGTACATATCTGTATATGCTATAAGAATGTCCATAAAAATAGAACTAACGGAGGGCAAAGTTATGATCACTTCTTAGGCACAGTCAACCACCCTGACAGAGTGCGCAGTTTTGACTTGTGGGCTCGGGACCACGGTCACGGGGGGACATCAAGCTCGACTGGTATAACATACTACACAAAAACACTGTCCGCATCCTACTTTGGTTGAGTAGTAACTTGGTTGAGTAAAAGCTTCCAAGTGGCCATCTAGATGCAGTAACTGGTCTTTCTTTGTCTGAGGCAAAGAAGAATGAAGAAAACCAAAGACACATGGAAACAATTCACACCTCAGCCTATATGACTATGAGACCAGAAGAACTAGATGGTACCCAGCTACCACTCAATAGGAATCAGTGTAGGAGATCTTGGATAGAGCGGCAGAACAGTGCAGAGTAGAGATGGCCAGAACAATGTGGAATAAAATTCAAAATCATGAAAAAAGACCAGGTTTACTGGTCTGAGAGAGCCTGGTGAAAGCCCCAAGACTATGGCCCCTAGTTACCCTTCAGGTCTAGAATTGCACTCACTCCCATAGCTTCCAGCCAAACAAGACAAGCGCATGGGGTGAACATTTACACCAGGAAGGTAGCTCAGGGGGCAGGAATGCAGAGGAAAGGACGACACAGGGAAAAGGTGACCACAGGGAGGAGGTGGAGAGAGAGCTGCTACACTGTGGGCACTGCAGTCAACGTCATGAAACAAAGTGGGTATGAACTGCTGTATGGAAAAGGAATTTGCTCTGTAAACTTTCACCCAAATCACAAGAAAAATAACAATAAAAAACTTCTGATCTTGTTCAAGGTGCCCTAATAATGTTGTTTCAGTGATTGCCAATCAGGGTCGTGTGACAGGTCCTGTGGTAGGTCAAACAAAGCTTCCCGAGTGTGCTCACCAAAAACAAAGTACCCAAAAAAATGACCATTTTCTTTTGTAACTTGACTTGATGTTGCCACTTCTATCTAATCAAAGGCCCTAGCCCTCTCCCCGCTCCCCCATGAATGAACGAAAGGACCGTGTTACTCAGGGGACAGGCTGCAATGGTGGTCTCCCCACAAGACAACAGAAGAGCTCTCGGTACCTGGGGAGCCCGAGCCACATGACCCAGGATGGGGACCAGCTGGCGTCATACTCGTTCTCACTGAGCGTGCTTGGCGGTTCTCCAGCGGTCTGGGCGGGCTCCTCCACCACCTGCACCTCCAAGGCTTTGAGGATGACGGCCGGGGACGCGGCGCTGGCTTTCAGCATCGCAACAGCCTCGCTGTGACTTAGGTTGGTCAGGTCAATGCCATTGATATTCAGCAACACATCACCTGTTCAAGGGAAGAAACCAGTGAGCTGCCAGGTGGTAATTCTGTCATTTGCAAACGAAGCAGCAAAGGTCAGTTCTACCCACTCAGATGAGATGAGGCCAAGGCCATCTCTACTCTGCACTGTTCATATACAGAGGAAAAGCTAATTCCTGGATAACAGTCCACAACAATTCTGAAATTTAAAGAACTGGACAATCCAGAGGACAACGCAGGACTTGACGCGTGGTGGTGAGGGGGACAGTCCGAATGACGTCGCCGCGTTCAGCTGTGTACAAAGCCTGGGTTCATCTTTCACACTAGTCTGAGCGATTTCCAACTCAAAACATAGCTGATATTTTGGTCTTAGGAAATGCATTTTTAATGTGTTCTATCTTATGTTTACAGTTTTATACATACAGACAGTGGTGCATACTTCACTCAGTGTAAACGTATCAGCATCTGCCTGGAGAAGCTACCCGTGGGCCCACACAGAGAAATCAAACTCGTGATTCCCTTCCTTGAGAAAAGAAAAAGCTTTGCTCTGCCATGTAATATAATGAAAATGAATGAAAAAGGGCAGTGAGGATTATAGAAAAGGTTAGGATAGAAAGGATTAGTTTTGTGGGAAGTACAAACTTTCTATCCAAAGAGACTTCCGAAAATCCCTGTCTCCCAATTTGCCATTTATTTTTCAGAATGTTAAAGAAAAACTTTCTCATTGCAGGAAACTTGGAAAACATAAGGAAGGAAATAAACCTTATTATCCCAGATTCCACAGCTGGGCAAATACATTTGCTTTTTCAGTAACAGCTGGACTGAGATGTAATTCACAGTCCAGTCCATCCACACATACACAGTTCTGTGATTTTTAGAACATGCACAGTTTGTACAAGCACCACAATCACTTCGACAACGTTTCATCATTCTCCAAGCAAACGTCACTCTACTTCTTCCGGCCCTAGGCCGTGGCTATGGATTTGGATTCTCTGGACATTTCATTAAGTGGAAGCCTGTAACTTAGGGACTTCTGGGAGTGGCTTCTCTCACTCAGCCCAGCATTTCTGAACTCCAGCCACACTGTACACAGATCCTGTTGTATGGAAATACCACGCTTTGTTGATCCATTCACCAGCTAATGGACATTCGGATTGTTTCCATTTATGGCTATTAGAAAATGCTGCTGTGAACAAGTTTTTATGTGAACAAGTGTTTAATTCCTTGAGGAACTGCCAAACTTTCCCAGAGTAGCTACAGTATCCAGCAGCAGAGGGTGGGGACTCTGACTTGTCCATATTCTTGCCAACACCTGTTGTTATCTTCCTAGTGGGTGTGAAGGAGCTCTGGTGGCATAGTGGATAAGGCACTTGCCTGCTAACCAGAAGGCTGGCGGTTCAAACCCACCAGCCACTCCTCGGAAGGAAGGTTGGGCAATCTACTTCCATGGTGATACCGCCTCGGAAACCCAAAGAGGGGTCGCTATGAGTCAAGTCTGACTCGACAGCACACAACAACAAGAAGGAGCTCTGGTGATGCTGTGCCTAAGCATTTGCCTGCTAACCAGAAGGTTGGCAGTTCAAACCCACCAGCCACTCCAAGGAAAGAAGACTGGGCAATCTGTTTCCATAAAGATTTACCACCTTGGAAACCCAATGGGGGCCCGCTATGAGTCAGAATTGACTTGATGACAGTGGGTTTGGTTTTTCATTTTTTTGGAATGACAAATGATGTTGAGTATCTTTTCATGTGCTTACCATTGGCTAGTTATATACCTTCTCTGAAAAAATGTCTATCAGACTCTTTGCCTGTTTTTCAACTGGTGTTTAGTATATGATTGAGTTGTAAGAGTTCCTTATATATTCTAGCTAACAAGTCATTTATCAGGTATATGATCTGCAAATATTTTCTCCCATTCTGTGGGCTGTCTTCTCATTTTCTTCATGGCATCCTTTATAGCACAAAAATCTATAATTGTGATAAAGTCCAGTTTATCTATTTTTTATTGCTTGTGTTTTTGGTGTCATAGCTAAGAAAACATTGCCTAATACAAGGTCACAAAGATTTATACCCATTTTTTTCCTAAAGTTTAGCTCTTAAATTGAGGCCCTTTGATTCATTTGGAGTTTTTTTCACCCCCTTAAATATGGTATGAGGTAGGGGTCTGACTTCATGCTTAGACAAATAACTTTTAAGATTCACTTTTCCATGTGAACTTTGAAAAAGCTACTTTGGAAAAACCAATCCAGGGAGAGTGCCATTTTTACCTTGGTAATGTCTGTTTAATTACCCTTCTCTCTACCACCTCTGTAAAAAACCTATTAGTGATGGGAAATGTGAAATCGTGGATGAGTTCATCCCTAAACTACTATTATTTTTATTAAGTTTTTCTTCTACTGTATCTCCCTTACCAAACCCCAACCACACAGACACTTTAAAAATAATATGCATGCACCTGTTATAAAAATTTGGAATACCAAAAAGTCAAAATCTTATCACGTGGAAACAAATACTGTTGGGATTTCGAGAGATTTTGAGTTATGTCTAATTTTCTTAAATTCATCTTGACATCCTTGATATCATACCATATAAACAATGTCGCATTTTTTTCAATGAAATTTCTAGGCAGTAGTTTAGTGAGAGGGCCTTCCAGAGCATCTATCTAACCTGCCACATGCTGGAAGCATCTCTTAGAGGGTCTTTTCACACACAAAATAATCCAACAGGAAAGGATACTATTAGCAATTTCTAAGACTGTCATTAAGCTTCAATAGTTCTCTTTCCTTACACATTTTTCTAATCTTAGAGGAAGGTATTATACGTTCACATGCAATGAATGGGAGCTCTGGTGGCATAGTGCCTAAGGCACTGACTGCTAACCAGAAAGCTGGCGGTTAAAACCCGCCAGCCACTCCTTGGAAGGAAGGCTGGGCAATCTATTTCCATAGTGATACCGCCTCAGAAACCCAAGGAGGGGTTGCTATGAGTCGGAGACAACTCAACAGCACATAACATCAATAACAACATGCAAAGAATATCTTAAAGGACTTTTAGAAATCATGTTTCACGCAAAGTTTTGTAGATGCTCTTTATTTTAAAAAAATGTGAGTTTAATTCAGGGAGAAGATGTAGTGGAATTGCTCAAAGCCTATCTTACCTCGCTTAATTCTGCCATCTCGTGCAAGACAGCCATGGGGTGGCACACTGGTTACAAAGATGGGCAGTTCACCACTCTTACTTCCTCTGCCTCCAGCTACTGTCATTCCAAGGGACTCATGTGGCTCCTTCTTCACAGTAATATGTTTTTCTTGGCATATAACACACTGGGTAAGATCCTAAGACGTGAAAGGAAAAAATGATTGGGTAATGAACAATATAAAGTTGAAAATAGCTTAAATTAATCATGTGTTATTTATAAAGTCACAGCTCTGGTGGCATAGTGCCTAAGGCTTTTGACTGCTAACCAGAAAGCTGACAGTTCAAACTCAGCAGCCACTCCACGGACGGAAGATGAGGCAATCTACTTCATAAAGGTTTAATACCTCAAAAACCCAAAGGGGATCAGGTCACAATGAGTTGAAATCAACTCGATGGCAGTGAGTTTGGTTTGGTTTATACATTTTTTTGATCCCATACTAAAGAACTTAAAGTAATACACAGTTCTTAATAGGTGCAAACACTACACTGAATACCGTGGATCACAATGTCAACTTCTGGACCACTGTACTTTCATGACCATGTACTTAGGAATTGAAACCACTCAGAACTGCTGCTGTGTGGACGCCAAAGTAAAATACACATAGCACTTGTGTAATTCTTCTTAGCTCCAACTGATTCTACAATAAATTCTATAAAAGTCAATAATGCATTTGAGCTTTAAGATTCTGAAAACGAGCCAATTAATTTTACTTCTATCCTTCTCCCTGCTTCTCTGAAAGACAAGTGGCTAGAGTGGTAAGAAAAGCAAGGTGTGGTGCTGCTAACCACTCTGTCTTCTTACTGACAGGATGCTCGGAGTGCTCCGTCACGAGGCAGGTGCGTCTCCACCCTCAAAACCTTCACGGAATTTGAAAGGTTATGAAATAAATGAACTATGGATAAAAGTGAATGACAGGGAAATCAGTTCTCAACAAACTACTGTTGCTTTTTGTTCTTTGTGGTGGTTATGTTCCTGTGGACACTAAATTAGTGAACACCAAATCAGCTGGAACGTTCACACTGTGCAACCCAACCATTTCGCCCCTGTGCCCATGCACATGTCTGCAAATGACCGCAAGAGTGAAAGCACTGATTTTGGGGTTACATTTACATTTTAGTGAGTAGACATATTTGCAAAAAGTGGAATTTGTGAATAACGAGGACCGACTGTTATGATCTCAGGAAAAGCAATTTTTACTACATTTGTCGCAGCTACCTAATTACGGAAATAACTACTGGAAAGGAGAATTTAAAGCATGACTTAGAGTTCAATACAAGAAACTACATACACACAATGAAAATGATGATAACATGTATTGATCGGTTACTCTGTGCAAGGCTAATGGCTTGATAAATATGATCTCATTTAATCCTCACAAAAGTCCTGACAATAAGTACTAATTACAGCCTTATTTTACAGACAAGGACACAAGTGTTGTGAGGTTCACGGAACCTGCCCCAAGTCAGACAACTAGAAGTAACTGCACTGGGATTTGAACTGATGCCAGAGCCACTGATCATCATAACCTACTGGACTTGGCTAGACGCTTGAGTCTGATTTGGTACTGTTTTAAAAATCAGCAATTTAATTTTGCTTTAGGGTAAAACTTTAATCTGCACAGAACCAGAATTTTGCCATTTGGGGTGAAGAGAAAGACGACACAACCTTTGTGCCAAGATGATGTAACGGAATTTACATTGTCTGAACCCCACCTTTAGTCCTTGCTGACCATTTATTACATTTAAGCTTAAATATTTTAGGCTGCATGGGCTAAAGCGGGACAAGAACATTGTTTGTATGCGATGGACTTTTCGTCAGGAGCTCTGGTGGTGTAGTGCCTAAGGTACTTGACTGCTAACCAGAAGGCTGGCGGTTCAAACCCACTAGCCACTCCTCGGAAGGAAGGTTGGGCAATCTACTTCCGTAAAGATACCGCCTCGGAAACTCAAGGAGGGGTCACTATGAGTCGGGTTCGACTCGACGGCACATAACAACAACAACAAAAAAAAACTCACTCTAGTTTTGTGTTTCTGCAGTTTGTTGAGTAAGAATATTTCTGAAGTTTTGACAACAGTTGAGCTGGCATTATGACTACAGAAAACACTCTGAAGGTCAAGTAATAGAAGAAATAATCTTTTTTTTTTTTTTTAATTTTATTTGGATTTGGGTGAAGATTTACAGAGTAAATTCACTTTTCATACAGCAGTTCACATATACTTTGTCTCATGTCATTGACCAAAATTTACAATGCAACA